AGTCTTTGAGAATTGGGAGAACTTTTACCTGCGCACATTGAATTTATATGCCTTTGGGTGAGTATGGATCTTGAGCTACCTTTTTGTATTTGTAAGCTCAATTTCAAGTAATTATGTATAAAGGTAGGCTTCAGTCATACGAATGTGAACTTATTTGTTGGTACAGTTTTAAGGGAGTTTTGTAAACTTCAAGTTTATATGTGAAAGAAGAAGAACAGAAATTTTAACGCTGATTAATACGTGTTCCAAATTTAAACACATTGCAATAATGGCTACAATGAGGGACATGGGTTTAGTGTAGTCTATCTGTCTCAGTACGGAAAGTATATACAGTGATAGTTAAGCAAATGAGCACATCTGAAACTCAATGAATTTAGTGTTAACCAGGCAGATTTTAGTGTTAATAAAACATCAAATCAATCCATTTATCAGAGCAATATCGGTGTGGTGACGGATTAATAATACGGAGTTTCACCACCCCTATTCATGATGAATGCTCTTACGATTAAGAGGCGACTAAGGGAGCAAACTACACAGGACAATAGCACTACAAAGAGAAGGAAAACTTGACACAAACCGTATACCAACCCGTTTGGCCAGCGTGGCATAGTAGGCCAAAACCTCTTTTCTAAGGAGAGGCTCATGTCCAGCAGTAAACTATTAAAAGCTGTTGATGATGATGATGAAAACATCGAAGCAATAGTTTTGGTAGAAGTTCTGCTAAAAACTTGTATAAAATAAAAGTTGTGCCGTCACCACTGTTTCGACTTAGTTGTAATCATATCGTATACTTATTATATTATTTCTTGTTACTTGATGATAACACAAAATTGTATTTATTTTAACCATAGCCCTTTCACGCTGATTGATGATATAATAACAGATTAAATACCCAACAATGCTATTATTCCAAAACATCGTAAATTAATTCTTTATATTACACGTGGCTACACAGTACTACTAAATTTAAGATGTACGTGTAAGTACGATAGCAGTACTCGCATATAGTACACTGCCTCCTCCGACAATTAACTTGCGGTTTCCTCTATGGTATAAGCGTTTGCCTCCTACAGTAGCTGCAATTCGACGTATATCACTACTGAGTAAAATTACGTGATGCTCTTATACTAGTGCAGTCGTTCAAGAACGCCTTTGCATATGTTTTTCGTAGTAGATATCTTGTTAAACTTATCTCGCAATATGCACGACACGGCGTAGTGTTTTAAGCGGTCGCCACGCCGCTTCCTACTACGCTGAGTGTTGTGGATTCGATTCCCACTTGGGACGATACATTGTGTGATCCACAAAATGTCGTTCTGAGTCTGGGTGTTCTTTGTGTCCGTTTCATGTATGTTTGTACAGTCCCCTGCGACACAAGAATATCCCTAGTGCGGGATTATATACTCGTATATAAAAAAAACGATGTAAAGTTAATACAATAGTTTGTGATAACTTTTTCTATTTTTATATGGAATATGGGGCATACGAGCAGACCTTGAAGGTAAGTGACAAGTGAATTGTCGGCCTTTGCATTCTCCCCTCCCCCAGAATTAGGTTGGAGGAGGGCTCCAGCAACCTCATTTGCTCTGTGGAAAGCAACAAAAAATTTGTTTAGCGCCTTTTTTGTGAGGCTTTGACATCACTCCGGTCAGGTCAGCCCATGCATCATGTTTCCATTCTCATCATTGATCTTTCCAAACGATTTACGAATACATTTCATTCATTCATTCACATTCAATAACATACCAATTCTGTTAGAGGTTTTTAATCTTTTTGGTTTTTAATCTATGTAACGTAAAAATATTGCTCCATCCTGCAATATTTACGGTACTGTATTAAAAAGAAAACCACCAAGTCTTTTAATTTACAACCCTGAAATAACAATATATCCAAAGCGGCGCCAAAAAGCCAAAGAAAGTGAACAGGCTTTGTGAAATGTATCCTCGCTAACCCTTTGTTAGTACGATGTATTAGAAAGAAGATAAACTGTTAGGGCCCGTTCAGATCTCTACAGTACAGAAACAATTTTTTGTTTATATTCAATCGTGTTTCTCATTTCCTACAGACACATATATACATTCACTCCTGAAACCCCGAGGGTTAAGCAGGGGCGTGTTAAATGACCACATTTTGATGACTTTATTTTTAATCCGACTGACGTAATAGGGCACTTTAGGAATTAGATGGGAAAATTTAGAATTCAATATCAAAAGAAGATGAAAATAAGAAGGCAGTTGTAGGAAAGATTGGTAAGTGTAAGTAATGGCTCTAGTAGGTCTCTTCAATGTAAATTATATTGATGATCCTATTAAAATAGTCTTAATTATGACCATAGTTTAATTTCATTGTATACCAGCTTCTGTCTGCGGTGCCGGCCGCATGTGAATAGATAGATAGGTAACTCTTTACTGTACAAGAAAAAAAGAACATGATTATAGAACAGTTGGTATACATTTGCATAAGTCTAATAATCTAGGAACAGTTACACAAAGAAAGTAAAACTAGTTATATAAAACAGTTGTACAATTGGCGGCCTTATCGCGATTTGCGATCTCTTCCAGGCAACCGCATGTATGTCGGATATCGCGGTTTAAAGTAGCCTATGTTACTCGTTGATCATGTAGCTTTCTATTGGTGCAAGAATTTTTATAATCGATTTTGGGTTTAGGGCTTGAAAGCGTTGCACCAGGGACTTCCTTTCTAGGGTATACCTGGTTCCCCGGCTATTAGTACCCGAGACGGCGTGCGGTTTAAGTCGGTTCGAGTCCGACATGCCACCGTGGTATCTGAGGGGATTTGCGCACGGAAAAAAAAAAAGAAGGGCTTGAAAGCGTAAGAAACAAACGCTGTAATGTCACATTAACATTTATAAGTATGGTAAAATCTATACTTATATTATAAATGTTAATATATTGTTTGTGTTATGTAATTAAATATGATTTCATCCTCATCTCGTCATCTCGCTGCATGACAAAATCGAAATACTTTTTAATCAACACTGTTATATATTTACGGTATTGTATATGTAGCAACCGATATATATTTAGGTATGTCTGATAGTACTTTATGTTAACCCATTGCACATTTGTAAAGTCCTTCTTATCCATTTTTACCACAAAAGATATTACTTGTTGTAGGAGTTATGTAGAATCAAGACAGTGTCTATATTAGCAGTTTTAAAAAGATTTAAACACCAGAAAACAAGACTAACAGATTGCAGATGGTTAATTAATACATCAAGTAATCAAGACAGATGACATTCGATCGTATCTGTTCACTGATTATGGGAGTTGACCTTTCGGAGTTGGTTGATTGTAAACAAAGTTTCAATGGAGCGACGTATGCCAAAGCACATTTGCGTGTAGAATTTATAGGTGGAATAGTTGCCACAACTTGAACAATGGATATCTTACAAATACGTTCTGAATATTGATTTCCATGAATTGAAATAATTATGCTCCCAAATCCCTCACTCTAAAATCTAATGTTACTAATATATCAACAGATATATTAGTAACTAAAGTGTAATTCTAATAGTATCAAACCCAAAATATCTTTATTTCATAAAAAAATAGTGATTATTTGAAATCGTCTTAGACTCTAAAGTCATAGATCAACACACAATAGCAACAAACAGTTTTTTTTTGTACTTCACACATCTCACACACGGCCGTCAGATCCCAAACTAGGCAGATCCTGTGACCAGACTGCTGATAAACATACTTATATAATTCTAAATACATACATATTATAGATAAATTAAACCCAGACACAGAACAAATGATCGTGCTCATCACACTATACTTGTCCTGGATGGTGGAACCCACGACCTCCGGCTTGGCAGTTAGGATCACAAACCACTAGACCAACTGGCCCGTCAAATTTTATTCATCGTATATTGATCATCATCACTGCACTCACAACAGCACTGCAGAGAGCAGGAAAACTTGACACAAACCCTATACCAACCCGTCTGGCCAGCGTGGTATAGTAGGCCAAAACCTCCTTTCTAAGGAGAGGCTTATGTCCAGCAGTGGACTATTAAAGGCTGTTGATGATGATGATCATCATCAATTTCATTATTAAACTACCCATAAATAGTGTTATGGTTTCTAGAAAATAACTAATCATATTTCAATACTTTTGTTATATAAAAAAATATATAAACCTATGCATGCATGCACCATAAACACTAATGTACCTCCTGCTACTGCTGTTGTATATCCCCTCGTATCGTTAGTAGTAGATGTGAACCAATCCTTATTTTGCGGACTTTTTAGCCGCAGTTGTGCTCATGTCCGACGGAGATACATAGTTAGTCTTTTAGGACTTTTTGTCCACTATAACCTCGACTCGGACGATGGATGTTGAAACTACAAAATTAAAGCAAATGTACTGCTAAAGGTTTTGTATTCTGCCACTACAAATATGTACTTCGCTGTATGTGCTCCGATGTCTGTTCCGTATCGTTAGCGTTTTACATGATGAATATTCAGCACGTTGCAGATGTGTAGCTCGCTGTGAAAACTGACTTGAAGGATAATAGATATTATAATTTCCGATGTATTTTAAAACTTATCGTAATAAAATTCTTTATTTTTTAATAAATTGTTTCATTTATATTTATAAAATATTTCCGTAATGAACACACGTAACTACAAAGATCTGATACTAAATTTAATCTAATACTGAAACACATTAATCATATTATGTACAAGCTATGTCGTTCGAATTCAAACATTTAAACATTAATAGAAATGTTATTATGAAAAGTATCCCCAAACATATTTTTCAGGCTGTGAAAGTAATGGTCTTCATTTATAGAGAAAAGTCTTGCACTTTGATTTAGAGATGTTGATATATTTATGTGTCTTAATCTTAAATAAACTGTCAAAACTTGTTTATTATTTATTATAATTGCATAAAAATCTGTTCCAATAGTTTAGCTATTAAGAATAATAATTTGTGGCCAGAATATTTAATGTTATCTTTCTTTTCAGCTGACAAAGCGCCTCCCGGATTCCCCAACATCGCGCCACCACCGACAACCATGGTTGTGGAAGTCGGTCATACTGCCACCCTACCCTGCCAGGCAACTGGCAACCCTTCGCCTAAAGTTAGATGGCTTTGGAACTCGCTGCCGCTGGACGTGGCTTCGAACCCAAGATACGCACTACTGAATGACAAAATGCATGGTAAGTGGTCTTATCCTTAAAACATTATTTTTTCTATCTCTCTATCTATCAAATTTGGAACATTGCATTAAGCGTTTGCATTGATTTCTTTCATGATCGACCGATAGCTCTCTAACTCTAACGAAAGTTTTTTTACTTTGTTTATATAGTCTAAAATAGGAAAGTAGAATGACGATATAAAAACGAATAGTTCATCTGGCTGGCTGGCATCATATTTGGATGGGATTGCCGTGAGGCGGTATGACAAAACCAAACGGTATGGCATACTGTACCTCAAATAGGAGAAATCCGAAGACTACAGGGCAAGGGAGCTAGGTTAAGAATGCTGCAATTACAGTCGTTCGAAAAGACCGGGCTCGCAGGTTAGGACATAGATATCCACGGGCTTATACAAAATAGTATTTATATTAGGAAACTAAACCTTCATAAAATACGGATAAATCAGTCAATGAAACAGTGACGAACGAAAAAATGATTCAAGGCCAATATCTGCCAATATCTCTATATAGCATGGGACAATCTTCAGCTCATAATTTATTTATCTGAGTGTCATGGCTATCCTCAAAGCCACTTCTGGGCCGTTGGGATTAAAAATGACATTGCTGATATACACCGTAGATATTCTTCTCCTAAAGAAAACTTTATTTATTTATAAAATCTAACACATCTACGAGTACTTGCTCTGACTGATTGACTGATTCATCAACGTAGTGCCTAAACCGCCGGGGCTGCAAACTTCTAATTTTGGCAGCTGATGCTTTGTATATAGTAAGCACCCACTAAGATAGGATTTTTGGCAGTTTTACCCCTTTTTTCTTTCCGTGCGGAAATCCTAACCAAAATCCGGACTAAAACCGCACGCCGTCTCGGGTACTAATAGCCGGGGAACCAGGTATACCCTAGAAAGGAAGTCCCTGGTGCCCCGTCATACCTCGGGCCATCTACAATAAGTAGACGACCGCCCCCGTGTGGGAACCCCATGTTCCCTCTGCTCCCTGGAAGCGAGCGCGCTTCGCAACGCCTGTCACCCCCAGGCCTGCGCTTATGGAGGACGGAGGTTGTTCTGCGACCTCCGGTGCCTGAGTCGCCTTGGAAGTTTTACCCCTAAGTAGGTAAAATAAAGAAATAACAATTCTTTGGCATTTCGTAATTTTCGAGTCAAGTTACAAAGCTAAGAAAAACGAAATAAGAAATCACGCAAGTGAAGTCGCGGGCAATAGCTAGTTAAGTTTAAACGCAGACTACTGGAAAATCCAGAAAACATGAAAATTGTAAATATTAATCTACATAGCAGTGACGATATGGCTTAGCTCAAACGTTTGTGCTAGAATAACATCTCCGCGCGTGATCCCATATGCGAGGTATGCACGACTGAAGTACTGAATTTACATATCCAAACTTGCTGTTATCGGAACAGCTTTCTTCTGTTGCTGTGATACTCTCAGAGTTGTAGAAAACAGTTTTAAATAATACCACGATTTCTCGTAGCTCTTATATTTCCCTTTCTTTCTATAACAAGAAGGGTCACAGGCTGCTAGTGACCCTTCTTGTTATAGTCAGTCACTAACAGAACGCTGGTTTAATTGCTATTACCAATTTGATTCCTTTCTATAGCAATTTTTTAGAAGAAGATTTTTTTTTTCTATAATCTGTAACATCAGGAATATTATGATAAAAACTTGTAAAATACTGCTTTAAGATTGTGCTTTAGTAGAGTATTTTACACATAAATGTGTGTGTTACTCTACTAAAGCACGATTTGACGTCATCGATGTTATTAGATCAGGGCAAATGTATGTGTGTGTGTGTGTGTAATCGTCTCAATTTTAAACATGAAATATAGATTCAGAACGGTATTGTCTTGGTAATATGATTGTTTTCGCACTGACAGCAAAACATTGAAGATAGGAAGACATCTTCGGCTTCAAAGTCATCAAAGTATGATATGTGTCTTTTTAAATAAATCGAAAATCTCCATTTTGTAAAATTCTTAGAGAGACAATAGAACAAGTTCATTAGAATTTGACACGGTATGAGTTTCTGATGGATGTGACGATCCTATTTTAGATATCTTAAATTGAAGATTGTTCAATGACATTGTTCCTTTAGCAATTTTGATTATAACAAAAGAATGGAAATTGGGAAATTCCTCCTCAAGAAAGTTACTGTAAATTGCTTATAAAAATAACTAATGATATACGTGCTTTAAAGATAGACGAAGCCAGGTACAGAGGCACTAAAACGAAATATTTACGTACCACGGATATAAATATTTTAAAGTATCAAACATGTAATCCCTTGAAGTTTATTTTATTGTTTATTGATATTAATTTTTATTTAACTTTTATCTTTTTTCTGCTGTCGGCAAATTAAAAAAAAGAAACATTTTTTACTTTTATTTACTTATTTATTACAAAATTCAGATTGTCAACATTAAACTATAGAATGGAATAGAAAGAGTTGACTTATCAATCTTAAACTATATATAAGTTTGTTCTTTAAGTATAGATCTCTTTCTTTAAGTATAGAGTTCGCAGCCTTCCTGTAGCACACAATAATTATTTTTAACAAGAAGATTGAACCAACAAATACGAAAATTACGCATAATAAATTATAAATGTTATAGTCACAGAAATATTCCATTAGAAATAAAGTCGTGACCACACAGCGCGATAAATCATCGCCACCACACCTCGACACGAAATTTTGTTAGGGAACCCACTGCATCACTTAGCGTCACCTATAATTAACTTAATTAAGAAAAGATGGGCGCGATTAAAATACCCCGTAGAGACGAATTTAATTTGCAAATCTTAATGAAAGTTCGTCGTGTGCTCGAGTCGGGTCCACAATATGATAAGTAGCGACCCGACGAAATGTTAATTATATTAAGTTTTAAGTACCGCGACAAACATTGCCTTGGTGTGCAAACCAGCTAGAATATCGTAACATTTTAATTTCGTTGTAATTACCTATCGAGTTATCTATTATGATATTATCTAATGTCAGCTAAATAATAATTGTAAGGGGTTTCTTGTGGGCCAGACATGTGCCTCGTTTATATCGTTGCAGTGATACGGATTGTGGTACCTGGGCAATGAACATAATATTTCCAATTTAAAAAAATACGGCAGAGAGGAGATACAGAAGAAGAGAAAATACCGCATACCGGTGCCTAAATACTTGCACACAATAGAAGTGTCTCTAAAGTGCAACTTTGTACGACTCTCTATAAAGATGTGTGGAAATAAAAAAACAATTACCAGTACCCTATATAACTTAAACACTGGCTTTAAACACCACCGATCGGCAACTATCGAATTTAAAGTCAAAGTTAAAAAAAATATTTTAAAATTATTTGAAATCGTCCCTTATGTAGACTCTAAAGTTAGAGATTACACACACACATACACACAATAGCAACAATCTGTTTTTTCTGTAATATTTACTAAAATAAATGTATACCCATATCTCTTATATTCCTGTGCCGATTTACAGCCGCCCGTTTCCTTATGAGAAGAAAGGGCAAACAAACTCAAATATAAAAAAGAATAAAATATTAAATCTCTCCTTTTATGGTATACACACATATATTTTGCATATTTCAAACGAAAGTACTTAAGTACAGCTTAAACAATTTTAATAATTTACAAAATTAAAACGGCATAGTCCTTAATTCCCTAACAATTAAATCTGTTCGTCTGTCTTCTAAAATGTTAATAATTTCAATTTTAATGCCATTATGCACTCCAGAAGGTGAGAAAGTAATTTAAATTCAGTTAGAGCAGCCCAGTCACCGTGGACTCTTTTAATCTTATTAATTTTAATTTATTCGAGTGGATTATTTCCCTCCGTCGCCTCGAATATTTCGTAGTTTACCATAATGGAAGCTATTTATTGGCTGTATAAGAAATACTTTGGCATTAAGAATAAGGGAATTGTTTTATTTTGAAATTTCGATAAAAGGAATTTAGTACCGGTAATTTAAGTAGCTTGTGTATTATGTCGGCCCGGTTTTCGTTTGCCTAATTAGTGTGTACCAGTATTTAATGAATCGATTAGCCTATCGCAGTCCATTGCTGTGCAGCCAAATGAGCACCATAGAACACGGTCCACCGTCTTCCGTGCCCAATCTATCCCATATACCTTGTTCAGAAGTTAGTCCGTACTGCTAGGAGACGTCCTACCTGCAAACCAACTCGATCAAATATGATCTAATTGCAAAACATCGCAGAACACCAGCACCTCGAAAAGAAGGAAAACTTGACACAAACCCTTTTTTTTTTTTTTTTTTTTTTTTACGTGTGGAAATCCCCTCGGACCGTCACCCCGCCGGGGCTCTCGTTCGGCGGGGCGGTGTGTCGGACTCGAACCGACTAAAACCACACGGTGTGCCCTCTTTGCGCTTCCAGTTTAGGAAGGGTCCAGGTAGCTATCTCCTTCTGGACCCTTCCCAGCGCCGGCCCGCTCCTGGTGCGGGCCCCGTCTCAGTGGACCCTCTCTTTAGGCGGCGTCCGGCACACGCGGAAGCCGCCCCCTCGCGGCTGGCCAACTAATGCGGGTGGAGGGGAGAACCCATCCCGTCCACCCGCGGCCACACTCAGGGCGGCATGAGGCGCAGGTAAGCGCGCCTCCGCCGCCCGGTTCGCCGGCGGCGAATCAGGTCCGAGTGGAGGTCGTCCTCCCGGGCCTTCTCCGCCGCCTCCTTCTGCGAGATTACCTCCTCGCAGAAGGTTGCGACCGCGGTAAAACAACTGTCGCTACCGGCCATGGAGCGAATTACGGCCGGTAGCGAGAGATCTGCTCCGATGACTGCAGTGAGGGCCCGGCGCTGCGTCGCCCATGCGGGGCAAACCGCCAGCGTGTGCTGGGCCGAATCCTCACTGCAGTCGCAGTGGTGGCAGGCGGGACTCGATTCCCTCCTAGCGACCGAGTGCAGGTACTTTCCGAAGCAACCGTGCCCGGAAAGCACCTGCGTCAGCCGGAAGGAAAGGGTCCCG